CTTCCTTCCTTCCTTCCTTCCTTCCTTCCTTCCTTCCTTCCTTCCTTCCTTCCTTTCTTTCTTTCTTTCTTTCTTTCTTTCTTTCTTTCTTTCTTTCTTTCTTTCTTTCTTTCTTTCTTTCTTTCTTTCTTTTTCTTTTTTCACTCACATAAAAAATTGTCATTCTAAACCACTGAGAACATAGCTGTTAGGCCGGGATATACAATAGATTCATTGGGTAGTTCACTAACTTATTTAATAGCAACTGAAATTTCCACAGAAAATATGGGTTTATGGATCTCACAGTATGGGTTTCACTAGTGTGCCGGCAGGGGAAGGACATAGGACATTCACACATTTCTCCACCTCTCAGAGGCCCCGGAGCCACAAGCGGAGTCTATACCGAAGGAAAGGTGGAAGGAGAAGTCGGAGGTAAAGCTTTAGAATGGTCTGGACTGGAAATAGATAGTTTTAATAATCACAATGCTTAAAATGGCTGCTAACTGGTGGGGAAAGGAAGATTCAACAGAGCGGTTAACAGTAACTGGGGGAAACAGCAACATTCCATGGTTTTATACCTCACAGAACTGAAGCTCTTCCATCACCAGGCAAAGGATTCTTCTCATTCCACACCATCGTGATTACCATTGTGTGCAGGGACATGTAGCGAAACAAAACCTCTCTGATTTCTCCACTTTTAAAATGGAAAGGACGATTTTATTCTTTTCTTTCAGCTGAAATTTAGAATAATTTTTCAAGTTCTCAAACAAAAATGTCAATTTGTTGTGTGAGTGGAAATGTTATAAATGTTATAAATTCACAGATTATTAGAGAATTTTGGCACCTTTACAATGTTGACATTTTTCCAACTAGAAATACCTTGGTATCCTCCAACCTTCTTTGTGTCTCAACATAGTTTCATTTTTTCCACTACTTTCTGCACATCGGAAGATTCATGTATTCATTTGTTAAATATTAATTGGACACTTACCACGTGCTAAGCACTGTTCTAGATACTAGGGAGACAAAAGTGAAAAAGAAAAACAGACATGATCCTTGCCCAGATGAAGCTTAAATCCTATGGAACGAAGATAGAATGAAAAGAGGACAAGGGTTGGTTTTAATGGTCATGCCTAGAAATTTTCTGTGTCTTTATATTGAAAAATCAGTGTGTCCTTTTTGGATTGTTCGCTTCCAATAGACTGTCAGAGGTTAAATTCCTCTACCTACAATGATGAACAAGTACAAAAGTCAATTGCTTTCCAGAGAGGTTTATATTTATTAGTATTCCTTAGAGAATATTGTGACTACACGGCACTGCAGGCCACATTTCTTCTAAGCCTTAAAGAACCCGCAGGATAATCAGGGCACAGGACAGGGGACGGCTTTGAAGAGAGAAGAGTAAGCTGCATGGTTGGTAATGACCAGGGCTGCAGGGATTTGGTCAGAGATGTGGACGTGATGATGACACATCACCCGAGTTCCAAAACCTTAAGAGGGTTGTGCTCTGCCCTTCACACTCTACACCCCTAAGAAGTGCAATGACATGCCGTGTGATCTTCACACGTAGAAAACTTTCAGGAATGTTCTCTTGTTGACATGGCACCTGGAGGGCAACCTATGGCCAGAGGGACTCAGCTCTAAAGGGGACGCTCCCGGGGCCTGTATACTCGTAAACAAATTGGAAGGAAGAAACTCCCCAAACACCGTTAAGTTAATGGTAAATAAGACTTTTCCACACTGT